AGTGTTTTCTGATTTCAAATGTGAAAACAGGAATAGCATAAGAAATAAAATTCAGAGTTCAGTTTGTACTTTTGTTTAAACAAGATTTGGCTCTAAACCCAATTTGTATTATCACAAAGCTACGGTCACTGATGAAAAGTTCAGGTGAGGTTATGAGGTGTTTGCAGGACAGCAGCGATTAAGTGGCTTCGGGAAACAATGTAAAAACATTTCCCTGTGCGTCACAACGCCTTTTATTTTGCCTCTTTGGCCAGCTTGCCTCCTCTCCGTGACAGGAATGCTGAAATTTAAGCCAAGCTATTTGATGTTGTTCTTGCCTGAGATGATGTCCACTGCTGCACTTTGCACCACGGGCAAATCTCATTTGGTTGATATCTTCATCCTCTTCCCACTTTTCCGTCTCTCCACCCCTTCCTCCCTTCTATCCCATCTTTCTGCTCAGTCGCCTGGAAGCCTGGGAACCAGTCAGGGAGATTTCTAAGTGGAATAGAGACATGTTCAAACATCTCACAGTCACGGGGTTAATTATTAGTGAAGAATGTGTAAGAAATGACTTTGCCAGGCTCTTATAGACCTGACTGACAGGATTATCTCTAACACTAACATTGTTACGATCAGGGGGTGAATCAAAGTATGTGATTAGTGGTTGAGTGGGTTTTTCTGTGATTAGAGAGCAGGGCAGCTGATGGCCGATATTTCATACTGATATCAAAACAAAGAAAAGTTGTGTATAATTATTCCATGCGGGGTACAATCTAATATACCTGTTATCTTAGCCAGTAACGTGTTTTTTAAACAGATTTTTTATTAATTAATGAAATAGAAAAATTCATCAGGTTATGCTGTAGATTTCAGAACGTGACAGGTGTATAAACTAGAATAGGGGAACAGTTCGTCCATCAAGTCTTCCAACCTGAACGACAACATAGGTCGTTTTAACGAACCTCCCAATACTCAGACTTATATGAGCGTATCCTAAAATAGCGCCGCTACCGGTGGCGTTTTTCCATGCCTCCCAAAACGGCAATTTCGAACTCCGTTTCCTCGACCAGTCCTACGTTTTGGAAATCACGTGACCTATATCTAAGGTGACCAGATGTCCCAAAAAATTTGTGACAGTCCTGAATTACGAGCAGTTGTCCCGACTCCTGTATGGTTTGTCCCGAAAATTACCCTTAACATGGGTTATGTACTGTTACATGTCCACATTTGTTGTGTTTTTCCTGATGACAGGTGACTTCAATGAACAAAAATAATAAATTTTAGCCTTGTATTTTGATTTTCACGTGTGTAAATGCTTGTTTGTCGTTGAACTGCATTCTTCCCTGCAGTATAACAATATATATGTAAAACTAGCCAGTAATGATTTTAGATTAGATTTGTTGTCATTTGGGATGATACATCGGCCTCATGAGTGCAGGTATCGGCTGATGCTGATTATCTCAAAAGGCCAGATATTGGCCCGATTAATCAGCTGTCCAATAAATTTGTAATTAGTCTAATTGTGATAGGGGAAAACACATTTTTTGTAATAAATTTTTTAGTATTTTGTATTTTAAAACAAAAAGGAACATTGGTCAGTAGCATATCTCCCCTCCAGTACTGTACATAGTCACACCAATACAGTATATGCCTTTAGCAAGGGAAAGAAATACAAATAAATACAAAACTAAAAATAGTAATGTCCTATAAGTGTGCAAAAAAAAGTTGTGAGAAACTAGATCACCTCATTCCTCCCATCACCACGTATTTTCCAGGAGTTCCTCATTTTTGGACTTTCCCATAACAACGTTTGTATTTTTTATTTGGATGTAAAGTTCCTGACTTACCATTGAACAAAATGACCAATTAAGGCACTGAAGTATTTTCATTTCAAATCATCATCTGGGTGAAGAAATTTAATCTATGATTGAATTTATAAAGGATCATTTGGTCTCGATTCCTATGAAAGAATGCTTTTTGACCACTGCCTGTTCATATCTATTTTCAACCATAAATGTATTTGTAAAGACTTGAGACAGCTCCTTTATCTGATTCCTTAAAGATTTTATTAAAAGAATGAGAGGTGAAGCTACTGTCTCCTACCCATCCATAAACATGTAGTACAGTGTGTACCAAGAATTAGGGAGATCAAAATTACATTTATGGTGCTGGAATCAACCATCTTGTCCCACAATATCCTTTAAAGAGAGGATGCCTTTTCTACTCCACTCATTAAAAGCAATCAGATGACCACCTATAAGAAGGTCATGGTTATAAAATATTGCAGTATCTACATGCCAATTACCGTCTATTTTAAATTCCTGGCATACAACGTACCAAACAGTAATGCTGTTGCTAATTACAGGCCCAAACTTAGCTAATTGAAAGCGAAAAAAATAATTTGCTGCAGCCTTTCTTTTCCAATTTAAGTGAATCTCCTTTTGCAGATCAGAGACTGTTATAGCCTTTGACTGAATTCTTGAAGATGTGGTTTTTAGATCTCCAAGAAAAGCTGCAGATAAGAAACAGTAGCCTGAAGTTCCACATACTTAACACAAAAGCTCATAATGGGCAGGGCAGAACAATCCATACCTGCCACATTTTCTCTGGCATGCTGTGGCTGTCTGCTGAACAGGATTTCACAGAAGGTCTGGAGGAGTGTGTTTGCATGTGCGTTTTTGGTGTGGTGTGTGTGTGTGTGTGTGTGTGTGCGTGTCTGCATGGTGTCATATATCAGTGAGTGTGGATTTGGGTGTAGCTTAGACAAAGAGGTGGCATTCAGCCATTTCCCCCATGGAGAAACCCAGCTGTTATGCACTGATGGGGGAGAGGAAAACAGATCTCTCAGACTCCTCCTGACTACATGAATGTCCAATGAACTGCCCTTGATCTTCATGTCTTCAGGCACGCACACACACACACACACACACACATACACACATGATACAGTTCTGTCTCTGATCCTTGTCTAACTCCCTCCTTTATGCATTTCCTCATTTCCCCTTTCTCGCAGTTTCTGTTCTCTCAGTGGTTTATATGTTGTCTTGTTCACTCTCAGTCTTTTCTCAGTGCTCAGGGCTGCAGAATAATTCCCTGTGTGATTTCCCACTCTTGTCTTTTGTCTTGGCTTTGGCAATCCTGCCTTTATCCACCATGACGCTCCAATTCCAGGGCAGATTGAGAGCTGTAACTAACCATCAGCATAAACTAAGCTACTCATGACCTACAGGCACTGGAATAGGAAAAAAATACTATATGTTTTAACATTTTTGGGATACCAGACCTTATTGGCGAGCATTTTATAAAATAAACAGTAATGTCTGTTAGATTGAAGAATGCATTGATTTACAATGTTGAAACTTGAAATAGTCAGTACTTCACAATGAACATTTAGTGATCTTTTTTTTTAATCAAAGTTATATTATTATAAAATAAAAATAAAATAATAAGTTTAAGACTTGCAATAAGCTATTGTAAAAACACCACCAAACTCACATTTTCCATTTCAAGTGTTTGCTTATTATTTGTATTCTGAGTTTGATTATTTGAAGACGTGATCAAAATGAAATTCTGTTGCTTAGCTGACTTCTTCGTCCTGACTGTAAAAACAAAAGCATGGTTTCATAAACCAATTTTCAAAAGTTTGCCTCAATCTGCATTCATCTACAGTATTTATTATTGCTTTTAAATAAATCAAGCATTCATTGGCAAATTCCATTAAAGCCTTATTTAAAGGTTCAGTGTGTTTTAGTGGCATCTTGTGGTGAACTTTGCAAATTGCAACCAGGGACTCCTCGGGTGGTCCCATTTCCCGAGTTGTGAAGTTGTTCTTCCGACTGCAGTGTGTGTTCATGTGCTTTTAAGTTGGAATGTGGAATCAACATGGACGCTCCTACAAAGTTGTGTTGGATTAGTATTATCAGAGCGTATAAACAACACGCAGACATCTAGTTCACTCTACATGGACAGCAAACCAACCATTATAACCATATTACAAATTACTTTTTTGCAAATTATGAATATGCTATACGTCGTTTTGCGTGAATCAAAGTTCTGTATACTTCTTTGTGTCCCATGTATGCATGTCTTTACCGCTACTTTCTGCCACGGGCTTTCTATGTGCTCTCCCCTTACCTTTTTGATGCTTTTTCCGCCATAAAATTTTGCCACTGAAATTAATTCAAGCACTGTTTTATTTGAAAGACAAACTTTTAATAGCCACGTTTCAAGCCTACATGCCTGAGTATTTAATGATAAACATTTGGGTGGAGTATCATTCACATCCTGACATCCTAAAAGTCTAGGATGAATCTCAGACAGTGAACAAATGGTCGTCCTCTGGTACACCTTTGCTCTTGCCTCTGATTATTCTGAATTCCTTCATCCTTTGACTCTGTCTACTTGAGGACATGTGTGATGTGATGATAGTGTTTTTCTTTATGCGTCAGTTAATCACAAGATCTTGTATCAGTGATCTGCTCCTAGCGTCAGCCTCCAAAAAACCAGTGAGTTTGTGTGTGTTTGCGTGTGTGTAGGAGAGCTTTCTCATCAAAGGTTGAGTCATGAGGTCACCATATTACAGCTGTTCATCTCAGGCTTGACACACAAAAAGGATCATATTGCATAACACAGACAAATCCATGTTTGTTTCTATTATGTAGCAGATGGACAACAGAACAATGTACAAAATGACAAGACAAATGATGCATTCTTCAAAAATGTGTGTTGTTTAATATTCATACATCCATTTGTATAATCAGACTGCGGTTATTGTACTTCCAAAGTGTACAACCTATGTGCATTGTGAGTTATTAAGATTGTTAGATATACAGATGGAAGTGACATCATTTTCATAAAAAAACATCCAAGCATGCTGATAATTATCTTGTAAACTTTACAGATAGAGGTGACACCTGTGGAAATGAGTGTAAATATGCAAAAGTGACACAGTATGTACAAGAATGAATGCAGCTCATGTGACACTACTTTTTGTTTATCTCCCGTGCCCTCTCAGGTGATTGAGTCTCTGGGCATCATGATCTACAAAGCTCTGGATTACGGGTTGAAGGAGAATGAGGAGAGGGAGCTCAGCCCCCCTCTGGAGCAGCTCATCGACCTCATGACCAACATGGCTGAGGCTGAGAGGGAGGCCTGTCCCGACGAAGGATATGAGGCCACAGAAGAAGAGGATGAAGCAGAGGATGACCCTGACATCTCCAGTGTTCATGGCTACGGAGATATCCTCAAGGTAGGCACAGTAGCTGAGTAAGTGGCTCTGGCTGTCTTGTCTGTTTTTGTTTGGTCATTAGTGGTTATTTATGTTTAAACTATCTAGACAGTAATTTTGACTGATTGTGAACAAATCATTGTTTGAACCCTTAAAGAAGTATCACCCGCAAAGCTCTACAGAGCATTTTAGTGTCCTGCAGCTCATTGTTATGGTTTTACAACCAGCAACTTGACTGTTTTGGGTCATTCTCACCGCTGTCATCATCCTGTTTTCCAGCAGCAGCTGGCAGCTGTTTTTAGCAACAAAGCTCTGCTAAACTCACCGTATGCTACCTGTTTACCTATCTACCTGTTAGAGTGTAGCTGGTGAACATAGTGGGGCATTTAGCAGCTAAAGTGCAAAAGAGATATTCCCCTTAGGAGTTGGTGGAAACCAAAACAAAGCTCAAAGGAGAGTGAATATTGGAATATAATTCATTGGGTTGCCAGAAACATGACTCCAAATGAAAGCTAATGTTGCTCCATGTCTGCTGTATGTGGAAATAGGTATTATATATTATTTTTACATGCCTCATGTCACATCAACTTTATAAGATCATAAAGCATGGCAAATGTGTGTTATTTTTAGCTTGTAGTTCTGCCCCCATGTGGTCAATGACAACTGATTAATGCATCTGTGAAGATTCTCAATTATCCAAGGTTGGTTAAAATCAAATGCAACTAAACCTGGTTGAAGATACTCAAAGACGTTTCGCCTCTCATCCACAAGCCTTCTTCAGTTTTGACTTACTGGCGGGAAGTGCCAGCTGTTTAACCTCTGTGGGGTCATTATCAAGATGATGGATACCGCTTGGTTACTCTGAGGAAGGCACAGACATATTAGTGGGAAAACTAAACAACCACTACACAAACACATGGCTCAAGACAGAAGGGCCAACTTTTCAGGTCAAGACTCAACAGTTAACTTACATTTGAAGGATAAAGGAAACTCCTTCAAGGACAACAACGTAAATTCTGGATAGGGAGGACAGATGGTTTGAAAGATGAGTCAAAACAGCCATCTACACCAGAGTAGAGAAACCACCTCTCAACGGGGGGAGAGGGGCTGAGACACCACTTATGCTTGACTTACAATGCTGTCCTTTCATCCCTTCCAAGGCGATTAAGCAAACGCTCACATATGGCCTCATGTGAGAATGCCATCTCCGGTCATCCAGACTTGGCCTCACATGACTCCAACAACCACAACAACTGTCGTCATTACAGACAGAAGCACTAACGAACCAAGCGGTTTCCATCACCTAGATTGTTGATTAAGTTAGAGAAAAGCAAAACATTAAGAAATGTTTTAGTCCACATTTGACAGAGGGCTACTACAACAGCTGTGAGAAGTCTGATTTCATGAATTTCAGTAATGGAAGAACTATACAATTAGTTACTGTAAGTTGAGCCCAGACACCAATTTAAATGATCTCCTTCACAAGTGAAAGTCCTGCATGCAAAAGTATTGTCAGCAATATATGCCTAAAGTTTGAAAAGTAGAATTGCAGGTTATACAGACTGTCTCCTTTCAGAGTGGTATATTATTTGTATTGTCGGATTATTATCACTGACACAATAACTTGTAAGCATTTCTATGGTGTAGCTGGTTGAGGAGGAGCTAATTTTAACTACTTTATATACTGTTGGGTAGTTATTATACATCATATATTAAGCTTGTTATCATATGTTTTAGATGTAGTAAATATAGCTGTTAAATAAATCTAATGAAGTAAAAAGTATAATATTTATATATCCAGTAGAAGTATAAAGTATCTTTTTAAATTGGAAATACAGTTCTTGACTAAACATAATCCGGATGGACTCCAGGAACAGATGATATCAGCGAGGGTAACTCTTCAGGAAAAGACATGTGTGAGAAAATGAAAATGTTAAGCATGGCTCCGAACACAGAGAATAAAACCACAGTGCAGTCTGGCTGTCGGCCTCATGCTTGCTGGGAGTCATGTCTCACTGTTGTCCAGTGGAGCCCAGAGTCACTGTGTCAGACCTCACATGGTCTCACACTGTTTACGTAATGTCCACATACCCAGTCACACACACGAACACACACACAGCAACAGTGCCCTCCAAGGAGATGTATCTGAGCAGTGTGGCAGTCTGGCTGGCCCAATGGCTAGCTAGCTGTCAGTTCCAATTGTTGTCTCAGTATTTTTCACCCTCAGACTATTCACTCTCTGTACTCCCTCAGTTTACCTTTTGTCCTACTGTACTAACCCTAGCTGACATAGAATCCACTATTAACTGTTTTTAACCACATTAATTCACTTAAAGGTGGGGTATGTGATTACAATCCAATACGTGTCTTTTTGTCAAATTTATATCTCCTCACAGTCCGCAAGCTATCCGTTCTGTGTGCGCTGAAAAAAATCTGATTTTTGTATACAGCCCTGGCTCAGTAAATGGGAAACAAACAAAGTGGCCCTCACCCCGCCACACAACAATATTTTAGCCATTCCAGCCATGATATGTATGTCAGGTAATGTTGAATTAGGCCTACTTGCCCACGGTGATGTTGTGAGAGTTGTGAGTATCGCTGTCTGGAGCTGGTGTGCTGGCTCTGGGACCATCTCATCCTCTCTGCATGTTAGCTTCTCAGCAGCAACTGTAGCGACAGTTCACGTTGGTTACATTGCTTTGCTGTTCTGTTGTTTGCTCTATATCATGGTGTTTGTCATTGAACTGGATTTCTCCAGAATTGCAGACCCTACCTTTAAAGTTATGTGTTTTTTTGTATGTGAAATCAACCACCATAATGCATTCATTTACCCTGGGTACAGCATGTTCTGTTATTCCCACACATGTGAAAGGATGTGGGCAGGAAGAAGCAGTTGTCTGGTATTTTCTGTGTTTAGTGAATTTATTTCTCTAACTGGGATGCAGTCTGGACAAATGGATGCCATGAACATGCCAAGCATTGACCCAGGGTGTCTTCTGTTCCTCTGAGCGAGACAAGGACATATTCTGTTATCACTGTCGATCTGCGTGTGAGAGAGTGTGTGTGTGTGTTTGAGCAGCAGCATGGCCGACCTCAGGCATAGTTGTCTTGTGAATTGTTTTCATCAGTCACTGTTGACATTTCTAAACAACAGTTTAGTTTTGTCTGCAAATGTTTTTTGGGGTATTTTGTTTTTTGGAGTGCTTTACATAACTCCCTTTTGTTGAGTATGTGATAGTAATATCAGAATAACATAGATATTGGTAGCCATTGTTGCTTCTAGCATTGCACAGAACTTTGTATTGAATTTTGTAATAGATTCCTGTGGTGCATACTGAAAATCTCTTCTTTGTCTCCCTTGTAGCTTTGCACAGCTCATCTACCCAGTCTATCAGACGCACCCAATCACTACCAGGCAGTGTGTCGTGCTCTGTACACAGAAACCAGGGAGCTGCGCACTTTTCTGGAGAAGATCAAGAGTGCCAAGGAGGTGGGTTCTTATTATCATCATCATGGCTGAGAGCTCATTAATTGCCGTATAAACCATCCAACCAAGCCTGTGTTTCAGTTGCACATTAAACAGCAGATTCTTATTTATGGTTAATGCATAAACTCTCGCTTTATAATACTAGTCTTATTTAAAAACACTGCCTGTACTTCACTCTAATAAAAGGTTACGGGAGGACCACTGACTTTTACGTGAAAGACATAGTGAGGCTTCACTTTAGAAGATTCAGCAGGGTGACCTTACATATCCTGCACACTAATCAACACGACTGTCACTCTCTGTGGGTGTACCACTGATAGTGCTGGCAGGGGCCACATTAGTATTGTGGAACTGCTGGGGCCTGTGGTGATTGTCATTCATATGAAAAGACATATATCGGTCTGCATATGAATGGTTTTGACACACTCCAAACCCATTTTGAATCAAAATGCATGATGATTATATTCTTGGTTCTTCTCTCTGCTTTTATGTATAAAGGGTTCAAATGAGGAAACCAGCAGAGCATAACAGTCATATCTGAGTGAGCCATCTTGCCCGTTTCAGTATTAAGCCAGATTTCTGAGAGGAAGGGTTTAATTGTAGCATGTAATAGGTATGGACATAGCAGAGAATAATAATTAATATATTTCATTTGTAATGCACATATATAGACACACATAGACATGAGGGCAGTGTACGAACTGCCGTGTTTCCTGTGTGACAGAGCAGTGGCACTCACTGATTCAGAAAGGCATCTGTGGATAAAGAAACGAATGGACACATCAGTGCACAGCCTATATTCCTCAAGCTATGACATAACAACCAATAAATCTGTCTCAAAGCTTTCACTAATGCTGTTCTCTGTAAGAATAAGTGAACAAAACCTGACATTTTTTACACAGTGCGCACCAAATAGAAACTCCATTTTATGCCAGAAATCAGGTTTATGCATAAAACATCACACAAAGAAAAAGACAAAACAATATCTAGTTGACAAACATCCCTCAAAAGCATGTTAAAGATTTTAATCACTCATAATAGACAATTTAACATCCATTAAATTAAACCCTGGTTCCCTAAAACCTTTCATTTTAATACATCATATTACCCTTGATTTGCAACATTAGGGGACTGGACACTTGAATAAATCAAGTCTGGGGCATCAGGGAATTTAAGTTTTCACTGTGGTCTGCTCTTTCACAATCACATTCAGGTGTTTAACCCCTTAAAGGTACCATACATGGTAATTGCACCTTGATATTACTGTCATATGAAAGTTTAGGATGTTTTAAGGCACAAAATTAAGATATTCTGTTGAATGAACTTAAAGCAAACTCTTTAGTCCTAAACTTGCCAGCACCTGCACCACCATTAACAAATGTGTGCAAATAGAACAAAAGTGAGAGTGAAGGCGGCATGTTTTTTTGTTTCTATTGATATTATGATTTGTATCCATCCATCCAACCAATTGGTGGTACACATCAGAGTTTCCATCAAGATATTAGGGTATAAATTGGGGTACATGATTAAACAAGTTATAGCAATTTAACACTGCATATTAGTTCAAGTGAAACATAAGATTCAGTCCTCCTCACCCCATTGGAGTTAAATGTAATATTTAGACAAAATATGTGTACATTTTTGCAGTTTTTTTGGCATGAAAGTGGTTAAACTTGACAACAATGAGTATAAGGACAATATAATGGCTATCAGCAACTTGGCGTACTAAGCCTAGTGTACCTCACTAGTGTTGTAATGTCCAAACAGTCCGATGCAGCCGTGCAGTATGTGGATGACAAGCTGTGCTCTCACACTTTGCTGGCTGACAGGTTGAAGAGGGCCACTGTGAAGAGGGAGTGACATGTTTGTTGTGCATGTCCGACATGGATAACAATATCTGGAGACATGCTGACTCTCAGTCTGCCAAAAGCACTGAGCTCAGGTTCTCACCGCTAATATTGAGACAGTCATGATTCAAATAATCATGCATGAGGCTCCTGCTGCAATGGTAGTAGTTGGGTCTGTGATAATTATATTTTTCAAACTTGTCCACATACCGTAAAGGATTAATGCTCCTTCAGTGTATTACTGGTATGCTGTCTGTTATGGGTCATGTGTCCATATTCAAGGAGGGGCTGGAATGTGATTTCCAATTATTTCCCTCAGTGATCTGCAATTAGCTGGTTTGCACAGTTAGAATGCGTCATAATCACTATCTTTCTACTTAATGAAAAGGCTTGAAATGTTCATAGTATTATTATTTAAATCACAATTTTTTTCATGTTACCCAAGTTCATATTAAGGCTGATAGTTCATCTAAACGCAAAGCCATGTCTTGTTGCTATACAACATGAAAAATGAATTGTCATTCATTAAGATCAAGTGCAGGAGTCATTTTGTGCTTTGTCTCCTCAGGAGCATTTTGGAGCTCAGCTGTGGGTTGAAACATTTCCTGTGGTGTGTGTGTGTGTGTGTGTGTGTGTGTGTGTGCGTGCGCCACCTCAGGGTTCCTTCCTGCTACGCACTATTGCTGCTGCCCTTTCAGTGTGCGTAATGCATCTGAATGAATAGAGGGGATTTGGTTGGTTACATAACTCTCTGTTAGGAGAGAGAGGACTTATTGCAGGGTGGAGAAAGTTGAGAAAGAAGCCTAAAAAACAGGATATTTTTAAGCCAAGAAACTCAAGTAGTAATGTTTTTATCATCATTTAGTATTTTATATAACACTTAGGTACACATTTCTTGCACATTATTATAAATAATAATTGTAAAAAATAATGCAAAAAAATGTAAACTTGTTAATTATCTATGACTTCAGCTACAGAAATGGAATTGTTAGGACACTCATGAAGCAAACACTGTGCAATGATTATTATTTGACCCTACTTCTATCCTATCTATTTATTCTTATTCCCCTTTCTAGCCACGGTCTGTCTGTCTATCCAAAAACTACTGGATGGATTGCTATGTCATTTTTTACAGGCATTCATGACTTTTTATCTAGCACCATCATCAGCATGTTGTCTTATCTGCCTGTTCTCCCTCTGTGTTGTTGTGAAGTTTCAGAGCGACAGAGACAAACTCATTCTCATGCCTGCCTGCATGTGCACGGTGCGAGAGGAGATTACTCTGAGCAGGGAGACAAATAAAATAAATATAATAGACTTTTGTATATTTCTCTTTTTTCCCTGAAAGGTATACTATATATAATTCACTATATTTGTCTCTGGTCATTTTTCAGAAGTCGCTGAGAAACTGAAAAAGGTAGGCAGTGGACTACACCACTGTGAGGCACATGGGGGGGAGGACATATTCTTTGAAAACGTAAAAAAACGCATTGGACTCGTGGTAGAGAATGAGAGCTGTTAACTATTTGTGTACCAAATACATTGACTTGACGCTGATGCACAACAGTGTTTGATTTTAATTTTTGGATCATAATTATTGCTAGGGAGAATTCAGTAGTTGCTGAAAATTCTACACCCTTGTCTAAATTTGTGTGAAACAAACGTACCTGTCGTACATGTCCATGTAAACTATTACCCCATTATTTGGTTTTGGTTCTTTATTAAATGTGTAGATACAATAAACACAAGGCGGAAATGATAAAATGTAGGTCAACAATAAGCCTTTTGCCTCCAGATACAAAAAGCAAATAGTCATCATCAGCACATGGGAGACTAATGAGCAGTATGTATGTGTGTGTATGAGCAGATGTGTGGTTGTGTAACTGTTATGTGATTTCTCCGTCTGTTAATGTATGTATGAGTCTGTGTCTGTGTTTATCTGAGTTGTGTATCCGTATGAGTGTGTGTCCATATACATTATGTGTGTGTGTGTGATATACCCAGGAGTAAGACCCCACTTGCCGGTCTTATGGCAGAGCTGTGCCGACCCACAGGGCATCTATCTTTGTCTGTCCACCACTACCAGCCATGGCTGCCAAATAGTTGCTTTGTCTCTCCCCAAAGACACCTGCTGCTGCTGGAGTTTCAGAGAAAAACAGCTGAATTAGTGGTGATTCACAGAAACAAGCCTGGCTCCTATTTGCTCAGGGATAAGTACTTCTTGTCAGCTCTTGAGAGCTGAAAATGAATAACAAGGAGAGCAGAATTCCAGAGAAGAAAAAAAAAGGTTGTAGATGCAGTTGGTAATTGCCCTAATTACTCATGTGGACTTGCATCAGTGTTGGTTTTGTCCACACGAGGGTTGCCGTGCATGTTTCAATTAAAATGCTGTCCCCATCAAGTGCAGAGAGCACTGCTTAATCAAACCTTTTGAAATGGAAATATGTGGCTTTGATGCAATTTCATGACAGGCCACTCATACCAATGAGACAATGGTGTTTAAAAGCAAGTCTTTAAGCACTTCAGCACTACCTTGTGATACCGATGTATAAACTGTAGCATGCAGAGTTATTATGCAGCAAAATGCATTATGTTGTGAGTGATGTTATGTAACTGCTACATTGAGCCTAACAGTTCTGTTCCCTGGCAGCATGTTGGTGAATTGAGATTTCCCCGTTGGGCTAAGGTCTTAACTCTGCAGTCAGCTGGGCAGACTCCCGTGATTGTCTTATCAAACTCTCCTCTGCTGTGACGTGACAAAAACAACCTTGCCACAAAAATGAACCAGGGAGAACATTCTGTCTGCCAACTCCTTTCTGTTACATTTTGTTTACTTCTCCCAGCTGTTGCTTTCAAAGCACCTGCAGAGGAATGCTGGTTCTCCCCTTGTTTCCCACAGATAGGCTGTCAGTCAGGCTGCCTGTGTTTTACAACACTAATGGCCTCACGTTGTCCAGTTTCACGCAAGTGTCAGGATGGAGGAGCTGGACTTACTGTTGACTGCCTGATCACAAGGGACTGTCAGTTTCACATCTGGTGGAATTTGTGATTTTATTATATTTAAGATTGCCAGTACAATTTTTCAAGAACATGCTAGCAACTCTGTGAGGCTGTAGTGCTTACTGTAAAAACAAAAGTAAATTTAAAAACAATGTTTTGTTTGCAAATGTGTAATGGGTAATGTTTACAGTGTTCACTGTCTTAGCTTAGCGTATTAACATGGTATTATTTGCTGATAGGCAATATAATGTGCCTAAATGAGCAGACATTTTAACATGACATGGTAGGAAAAGTAGAAAACAGAATCTACGGCCATGCTACTAGGTCTGTGAGGCTAATGCTCATTTTAAATAAAAACAAACTAAATGATCGATAATACCCGACCCTGTACACAGGATAAGCGGTTGACGATGGATGGATGGATGGATTATCGATAAGATTGATATTTAGCAGTATAAAAATGCTAGTGGTTGATAAGGTAGTGGTTGTGAAGCTAACATGCTCACAATGATGATGCTTACATGCTAGTGTTTAGCAGGTAACGTTTACGATCGTCACTTTCTTTACTTTTTGTAAAAATGTTAACATTTGCTGACATGGGAATCTAGCCTTAGGCACAAACTATAGTCACATACAAACTTAAATTTGACCTGATTTAGGTGCTTGGGTGAAATGTCAAGGGACCATTGAAGTTAATGCAATTCATCATGTGAGGAAAATGAATGCACGTCAGCAAATGCCTATGTCAATCAAAGTTATCATTATAAGCTTTAATTTGATAAACTATGAACAGTTATTTTAGGTGGCACCAAGATACAGTGTTTATGTAATATTGGTGACAGGTGGTGCATCACATGTTAAAAGCTCCTGTTAGCTGTCCGTAAATTGAAACTCAATGGTACCTGAGTGTCTACATATTGAAAAAATAAAACATGTTTTTCCTACCACAAAGGTAACTAAACTGGAGAAACAACTATGACTTTGTTGGTTCACATGTAAGCCTATTGGCTCTTCATCTTTCCCTTTTTTAGCTTTACCTCTTTTTTTAACATGTTGTGTCTGAAATTGTCTTTATGATTTTTTATTTTATATTCAAACAATGTCTCTCTCTCTTTTCACTAGAACCTCCGTAAAATGGAGCATGAGTCATCAGTGGAGCCTGGCCACGACCTGAATGACCTACAGAATGCTGACTGGGTAGGCATTTAGACTCTTGACCTATGACCTCCAACAACTGATCATTTCTTCTGATGAACGTCTAACTCACCAAAAAGCACAGGGGGTTTCTTATCAAAGATTTTCCACAATTGCATGTTCACATAAAGAAATCTTTATGACTGCATGTTACACTCTAAATAGGCAGTGATTAAAGAGCTTCTCAGGAACCATGTTGAGATGGATAGAACCACTGCCCTTGATGAACCCTCCTTATTTTGTGTGCACAGAGAGGTCAGAGCATAGAGGATTGTTATTTTCATATTCAAAGGGTCATATTATTTTCTACTTCCCCTTTCTCATGTTGCCCTTTGCGTCCTCCCATCAGGCTCGATTCTGGGTTCAGGTGATGAGGGACCTGCGTGATGGAGTCAAGCTGAAGAAGGTGCAGGAGCGGCAGTACAACCCTCTGCCCATCGAGTACCAGCTCACTCCCTATGAGATGCTCATGGACGACATCAGGTCCAAACGATACAAACTGCGCAAAGTCATGGTCAGTGTCCAATTTGGACCACATGTAGCCCCATGTGTGCCACCGGCTTGCTGTACTTCTGCTATACAATTGTTCCAATCCCATGGGAAATTGCTTGGAAAAGCTTGCAACACTGTTGTGTAATAAGTCTATGCTGGGACGTTGCTCTTTTGGATACCAGTGTAGTGCTTGATTTGACTGTGGTCGGAGGTTTTACAGACTAAACTGTTAATCTATTAAAAGTAAAAATTTTGATGAATAATGGAAATAATCATTGGTTGCAGCATTGCTAACGGTCCTGGATTTGGATGTCCTGCAATAAGCATTTTTACATGTTATTAAACTTCATGATCTTTTCTATAAACTTCTGAAACAAGCAGGATTTGTGAGCTAGATTTACACAGTGATTTCAAGATAGTTAAGGAATCAAGCCATTTCTGTCTTCATGTCAGTGTTTACTTTTTTGCTCTGTTTTTATCTGTTCTGTTGTTTCAGGTAAATGGAGACGTCCCGCCCAAGTTAAAGAAGAGCGCTCATGAAGTCATCCTGGAGTTCATCAGATCGAGACCACCTCTCAACCCCGTAAGTTCAACTTAACAACCCATCCTTGTGCAGCCTATGAAAACTTGTGTTAATTAGAAAAGACCAGTGGACTGTCTTCAAATGAAGAAAGATTTTTACCTTTCATCTCCCCGTCGTGTGGATCCTGACCCTGAAGTTGGGAAGAAGCTGATTTGATGTACCTAACACCAGAGACATCATGATTATTAATTGATAAAAATAGATGTCACCATACTTGAAGATGTATGGTGCAAAAGCAAACTGTTTTAGAGCTTCTCTGCACTGTGAATTCAGGGAAATGCTGCATTCATCAGTTCTGTACTGATATAAATCATACTGCAATACTCGCAAGCGCTGTTTCAGCAGGATGCTGAACTCTACATAACAGCCAGTCACGGGAGATATGAGATATAAACAGGCTGCCAGCTATAACCCTGTTTGTTTCAGGCAGTTGTTGTACTTCACTATACTTACACTCTGTCATTGCGCTAGGTGTCAGCTCGTAAGCTGAAGCCACAGACTCAGCCTCCTCCAACACTGCATGAGCGGATCCTGGAGGAAATCAAAGCAGAGAGGAAACTTCGACCTGTGTCACCTGGTGAGGTCCGCAGGGGAAGGCTGGGTAAGGAAACTCATCGCTTCTTTGTACCTGCTGCATTTATTTTTATACCTTTGTTGCGCACACACACAGTGTGCACACTCTCATGCACATGAAAACATACTTCAGTCTGAAATGTGTTTTTTAAGGTGAAGTATGGAGCTGATGCTTGCAACTTCAGGACATCATGTGCTAATCAAACAAATTCAAATGAGAGATGTGTAGTAACTTTATTATTTTGACCTATGTTTTACTTCCTTTTACAATTTACAACACTATTATTTGTGCCTCTGCTCTTTGCTGTTGTAGCTAATGCTGCCTAACCTTTCATGTTTGTGTTGCAACTAATTCCTATTATTGTTTTGTTGACTACATTGCAATATAGTGGAAGTTGTTCATGAATAATGATGCTAAGTGTCTGCAATTGCATTAACACAACAATGCTAAAACCACTACTGTTTCTGAATGTCAGTAATCTCTTACCATTGGCTATGGCTTATTTGAAATCCTATTATCTCCCATCATGAAAAAGGTTATACTTCAGTGATCTAAAACTAGACAATAAGCATGCTATACCCCTGCCTTTCTTGCCAAATACAAGCAGATTACATCCGTTAATGTATTATACTCTCTATAAGTCCTGCTTTAGCTTACCTCCTAATCACAAGCAATAACCATCCGATGCCATGACTGTTTCTCGTTGCAGTAATTCGGCCACTTAGCATGTCTTTCAGTTTTGATGCGTCAGGTAAAGTCTACTTCCCTGCTTACCTGGCTTTTTATCTCTTTCTGTTTCCCACCTTGTTGTGGCTGCTCATCTGCTCTATCAGATCACACTGCACACACATCAGACTTTTTGTATCAGCCCACTGCACACACATTTCATGTCATGCTTCAGTGGTTGGTGATGGTTGGCTGTGGTCTGTGGAGGTGAAACATGGTGATGTGGGACACTGGTCAGTAGGAGGACACTGTTGAGAGCAAACAGATGAGTGACGCATTGACCGGCAGTACAAACACAGTTCTATAGTCAGGGCACAGCAACCACCGAGGACACTGAGGTAATGTCCTTTGAGTTTTTATTAAGGAATTTGGGGTATTAGCAAATTAAACATAACATTCGTTTGCAGCTTAATATATATTTCAATTTGACTACTTTTAGCATTTAGTTCATCTTGGAAAAATGTAAATATAATTTAATTGAACAATAACAAATAAAAATAGTTTTGAAAACTGCATGAAAGACTGCAGAGTAGCTTAGCTAATTACCACACATATGTGTTTTGGATGATGATCTTTATCATATTTATCATCTCAGTAAGTACAACAATAGGCTGGCTGCACACCAACATTTGATTGAGAGTTTGCGAAAACTACTACAAAGAAGTCGAGATAAATTGCTGAAAGTGAGGATAAATGAACTTAGGAACAACCGAATGAAGGGACTTGGACTCAGTATTTCTAAAACCCTGCAACCATAGAAATTAATCAATTACTCTTTGTTGAAAGTTACATCCCTTCACAAACTGGCTGTAGTTCTATTGTTTGCGTGACATTATCCATTGTTTTAAAATGTAAATGCCAAATGTAATGCTATAAAACAGTACCCAATCTCATGACAGTATGAGATGCAATTAAAAACCACAGAATTTTATTTATGCAGGATTCAGGTCACATTTACTTACATGTCATATTTTTCCTCCCTTTTGAATCTTCTTGCCTGGGAAAAATAAAGAAGAAAATGGTTGTTATGATGATGACTGATGATGAGTAACATGGCATGTACACAACTCGCAGCCTGTGGTTTTTGACACGAGGGAATCCTAACTTCCCATTAGCATCTGGCTGTCCTAAAGAGAAAGATTAAACCTAGCTCTGGCTGATTGGAACAGATCAGATCGCCTAACAGCGGATTGGGATATTTTAAGGGCTTTACTGTTCTTGGTGCCCTCTATGATGATACTGAATTAATGACCAGTGACGGTTTAAATGATGTAACATTATCCTGCTGAGTTTTATTTATTCTATGTCATTGTTTGTTCTTTTATTTTTGTTTAATACTTATGAGTAGAGCCAATGTGAAATTCTGAAGAGTGAGTTGTGAAATGACATTATTGTGGCACTTCAAATCCTGGTCAGAACAGTACAGCTCATACAGTCTGTTTTACCTACAGCTCCTGTCAAATAAAAGCCCAGGATTATCTCACTCCTGAAAAATGTCCCTGGTTGTTGCTGCTGAGCCCCCAGGTCACGCCAAGTGTCACCTTTGCTAAGTAAATCATCTGTCAAATATACTGCTGTTATGTGAATCTTAAGTAGAAGTGTGTGCAGCCACCCATCTAATCAAGGAATGAGAAGGAGCAGCCAAAAGAGTTACCACCACCTCTGTGTCTTCAAAAATCAACTCCATACACAAGAGTCTTTCATGTGCCACGATGACTTTGCAGAATTTAATCAGGGAACAGATGGATCAGTGTGCAGCCTCATGCTCCAGCACTGGACAGGATATACGTTCTCCCAGTAGTGGTATGTGTTTAGCATTAAATGCATATGACCAGCTTTATGCTATATACAGTTTTGATTGAGGTGATAAGATAATACTGCTGAGGCAGGCAAATCAGAATAATGCTGCGCTCCACTTTCCCTCTCTTGAAACCAGTGTCTCTCATCACACAACAAGCTTTATCACCTCACGCTTACTCATTCATGCTGTCCGATAATCTGTGTGCGTCTTCGAACTCCCTCTATAATGGATCATTCCCACGCGAGTGAGCAGTTTGATTCCTCCTTTGGTCCATATTTCACGGGGAGATGGTACAGACCCGCTGACACTTGCATGAACATGATTAAGGTTTAAATCAGGAACAAGAAGATACTGTTTTAGGGATAAATCCATTTCACAAGATATATCATGCACTTCTGAGTCCATTTAGTTGTGTCGTGGTGTTTTTCCCCATAACTGGCAACATGGAGATGGTGTGTCCTACTGACATGTTTATAATGTATAAACAATTTATGGAATAGCTTGAAATTTTGGAAAAATACACTTGCCAAGAGTTAGATGGGAAAATCGACTCCACTCTCATGCCTTTGAAGGAAATATGAAGATAAAACCAGAAGAATCAGAATCAGAATCAGAATTCGGTTTATTGCCAGGTACATTTTTTCACACGCACAAAAACACACACATGATTAGACTATCAGTTGACTATAGGCAGGACTCAACGATTCTGATTCGTAAATCCTAAATCGGGGAGAGCCCTAAAATTCTTACAACACTTTACTCCCCGTAAAACCACATTTCTTTTTCTGTACAGATTAAACTATCAAGATACAATAAGTTAATTAGGGAGCTTTAGATGTGCTGTTAAGAAGATTTTTTTTGATGTTGGACATCTAATTTTCAGCAAGAATAGTTTCCCCCCAAAAGTTTACTTCTTTTAAAACAAAAACATTTTCAGCTCAAACATGAATGCATAATATTTGAGTTTTGATGTCTTTCCAGAAGCAACGGGCAAGGATTTGTTTGCCAATCCAAAATTTTGGCATTCAGCAGTCCTTCAGGAAAACCCCAAAATTGGCAGACGAATTTAACCATCAACACCAAACGATATGCAGCAATAAGACATGTAGAATTTTAACACAGCTGTGTGACTGTATACATAATACATACCCCACAGCTATAGGATCACACTGTATAGCTATTTATAGGCTCATATAACCACCTTTGACTGAAAGCAACACCTTGGCCTCAGTTAAAAAGCATGAACAAACCAAGTCGAGGTAGGGGGGGTCCACCAAAGAAGTGAAAATTAGCCACATGAAACCACCAGAAATGCAATGTCTGCATTCATCATGATATATTTTTGGGATCTAACAGCACAGACATACCAAACGGTGGAATATTCATATAGCTATCATAATGAAGAAGTGTCCCCTTTTAGGTTTTGGCAAAACTCGCAGTATGCCACAGGATTTGTCCGTTCTGGATTAGGTAAAGTATGAGCACTGCTGTGGTTTGGAAGGCCTCCCTTAACCTAATGCCCTTGTCTGTCTACCTCCTGGCTGTAAGTAATATCTCCTCTATTTAAATATTGAATACTGAAGCGTAGTCAAGACACAAGTACAGTGTACAATTATGGCTAGTTTGTTTGTGTAGTAAAGTCTAAAATATGGTGATGTAGTCTCTAGGAATCTTAGATTGT